ATACTTTTACTACTACCTTTTACAAAAGCTTTTCTGACAGTACAAAAATGAGTGGTACTAATTTGTAATAGTAATTAGATATATGCATGAGGGGGTAAGCTAGCTGTACATGAAGCTGCAGCAACTGGCACCCTGGAAACAATCTGAGTGCTGTATGACTAATGTACTATCATCACATTTTGCTGCAAAGTTTGTTTGTTTGTTTTCAAGAAAGAGTACAACCAGAATAGACAAATGAGGAAAAAACAGCATTAAATTTCACAGAATTTGATGAGCAGGTCATCTTTTAAAAATTCATCTGCCAAATCACACGCATCTCCCACCCACCCTTTCTTTTGGGAGAATTATTAGTTGCAACAGGACTCATCCCTCATATTACTTAAATCATGCTCAAAGTAAATTTTAAATGATTGATTTTCACATTTCCAACTGCCTTCACATTACAGCTCGGCATTTTACACTTCTAAATCAAGCCTGAAAACTATTTCATTTCTGCTTCAGCAGTGCAAGACTAAACAGCAGATGACTGGTCATCAAGTCTGAAGCAGAAAAAGAGCAGAGTGGATAAGCACAATCCACACCACTTATCTATGCTACTTTCTATTATTTTAAACAACAAAGACTTACATTTGAGTTTACAAATTCAGATACTAATGGAAGGTCCCATCATTGTCAAAGTGTGTGCAGGCTGTATTTGCCATGTATTCAAGCATAACTAAATAAGTCAAGGTGTGCATGGTACTTTTTTTAATACATACTGCCTTTTACATTTTAGAAGTTTACCTAAAAAACTGTACACTATTTTAACGTCTTCCACACTTATTTCATGCAATAAACCCAGTTCATGTTGCAAGCAATATTACAGATAGTCTTAAATGCAAGGGACAAGAAACAGCAAATTCAAAATAGCTAATGCAGACCTGCACACACATGACACCATGTTTTATTATGCTCATACACCATCTGAGACTTACAGTGCTTTTGCGTTAAAAAAAAAAATAAATAAAATTCCTATGAGATGCTAATGGTACTTACTATTTAAGGTAAATCATAGCAGGTTAATCATCTTCAGAGTCGAAGTTAATTAGATGAGATCAATACTTGAAATATGTGCAAATTTCTGACTTGATTTTTTAGTAGAACTTTGTATGCTACACAGTTCAGGCAGACCAAAAAAGAATTAAAAGCACCTTTAACCACAAATAAATTTTGTTGTGTGAAAAACAATCTAATCTGAAAAAGAGGCCTTCTTTTCACCTCAGAACAGTAAACAAAGACTTATATATAATATAAAAACAAGAAGTTTAGAACCCATGCTGGCATGTCAAGTGCAGAATTTCTTTCGATTCATTTGCAGACCTATTGCCCTCTTTTTTAATTTCAGTTTCCCTCCTCTTTAATAATTTATTGTGATGTTCATTAATATGTGTTTTGCAAGCAAAGGGGACCTCTACATCATAGAGGATTTTGTCAAACATACAGCTTATGCAAGTAAGAATGAAGACTAAAACAAGTATTTGAAGAAATTTGTTTCAAAAACAAACATAGCAAGCTACCCTGCAAAATTATTACAAGAGGATCAACAACCACATGGCCTTGACAAGAAATACCATTACATATCCCCCAAATTTTATCACACTGGTAACTCTTATCATTATGAATACTATCACTGTACAATAAAGATCATCAAAATATGAAATCCAAACTCTACTGTATTTCTTGTTGCAACAAAAGAAGTGTCTACCATGCAAATACGACTTCCTAGAGCTCACTATTTACCACCACTTCATTTCTTCACCATCCCTTCCTCCCTCACAATTTCCCTTTTCTTTCTTATTCCTACCTTTTGTTTTTGCTTTTCTTCTTCCCCTTTCTTACTATGACCTTCTGTTTTGTCATCCGTTCCCATTTGTTACTTTCTTTAAGATGGCAGCATGTGAACCCAGGGGCAGAGGTCCCATTTAGCCATGCCTAAGAACGTCAAGCAATGCTGTCTATAAAAGCCAGCTACCACCTGGGAAGGGTTGGAAGGGGGGCTTTAAGCCCACCAGAAAAGCCTGCCCAATAAAAGTCAGCCTCACAGCCTGTAATTATAACTTCTCATACATGTACACTGGGGCCCTGGAAGCTGTCCAAGCTTTCCTTTTTCCCACCTCTTCCCTCCTGTTCTTTCCCTGCACTCTAGCAAACAGATAAGAAACTAAAGTGGTAGTCAACACTACTCAAGGGTCTTATATTACAGCCCAAGTGACATCTTTTTGCAAACTGATGCTCCATCAAGTGTGACAGGCTATTCAAAGACGTGCAAAACGTGCTAATAATCTTCTTCAGGATTTCAAAGTTGTTTTATTCACTGAAGTATGGAACGTTCGAGCAGGATTTTTAAGACAGACGGCAGTTCCAGTGTAGTTCGTAAGGTCAGTTTGCAGCCTTTTTTTGTAATTGCAAATACATTCCTTCTGCTGGAATTATTATCACTGGTGTACTCACTGTTAACAAAACAGTTTAAAAGCCTGTTTTGATCTTCTGAAATCATGTTAGAACAATAATTTTAACTGAATCCTCACAAATTTATACAGGCTACATATATTACTAACGCTACCATCAAGGGAAATTTACAGAAATTACATTAACCTCATTGTAGCACACTCTTTTTCACCAGTTACACACAGCCTATGCAAAGTATGTGAAACAGGGGTACCCTAACTTTAGTCAGTATATAAATACCTGACATGTCAAGAAAGACACGTCTGTGGGTCAGAGATCTTCATTTGAATATCCACAGTAAGATGTGACAAACTGCAAACTTATTTTTGACCCTTTTAAAATTTCATGGGTGTTTTTTAATGATTTGTAATACTTAATAATGAGCTCTGTCCTCCATTACATGACTATATCTTGTGTAAGTGCATTACAACAAGAATGCACACTGTACCAGTGTAGTGGCTTTAATGAGAAAACAAACCAAACCAACGACACAACAAACGTCACCACAACAGCAACAACACTGAAATTGGTAGATACGGCATAGGTTTTGAGTCGGGGTCTTTGTTGAATAATTTCTGCAAATGAACCGTTATCAGTAATTCCAGACTTCAACAAACAGGGTGTCACAGTCTCCTGTGACACAAATTTATCTTAGGAGATTAACTGCATCAATATTGTAGAATGCTTATTGATCTAAGTAACTAAAGCATCCAGCACACACACACACACACACACACACACACACACACACACACGCACACACACGCACACACAGAGTTGTACTTTCAGCATTAATTTAGCAATAATTGGCACAAGATTATGTTCAAGATATTGCTAAAAGGAAAAAACTTAAATTGGAAGCAAGATTCTAATCTTACATATACCGAGAATTCTCATGAAAAGCAATTCTAAAAGGCAAACCCTGTGGGCACAGCCCGACATCCCTCTAGACATTCAAAGTAATGAATCAGCCCAAACTGATACCTTAATTTAGTTTCCCAAACTGTGATACCTTATCAGATAGGTTTAAAAGAGTTAAAAATACCATGTACCATTAACCTACAGGGAAAGCACTTCTATCATTTTCAAAAGACTACAGAATTAAATATCTATCAGTTTGCAAACTATTTCTGAATTCATTAAGTAAAATAATTTCTGCTTATATTACTCATGGATGACTCCGTGCATACCAATGCCAGATTAAGACCACACATAACGGTCAAATACCACTACAACAAGTTTTGTGCTATGTAGCCAACTTGCCTATGGAGCCAACAGAATGACCACTGTGGTGGTGAGCGGTTGTATTCTCTTCCCTTGTTACTTCCCTTATCATTATTATTATTATTGGTGGCAGCAGTAGTGATTTGTGTTATACCTTAGTTACTGGACTGTTCTTATCTCAGCCTATGGGAGTTACATTCTTTCAATTCTCCTCCCCATCCCTCCAGGAGAGGGGGGAGGAAGAGGTGGTGGGGGGGGGGGGCGGGGGTGGGGGGGTTGGGGGGGAGAGCAAACGGCTGCGTGGTTACTGAGTGACAGGCTGGCTTAAACCACGACAACCCGTTAGTCACTTTCACTCCTGTATCACAGCAATGTTCCTGCACAGTAAGTGGTATAAACAAGGTTTATATCAGATTAAGAGCCAATCACTGCCTTCAAAAAGTCTTGAGTGTATAGGTGGAATTATCATCATTAGATGACTGTGTGATTTGGAATTGCAGGCTGAAGAACATATGTAATTTCTACCTTTGAGTTAGTACATGTTTCATTAATGATTTGTCTTTTAAGTTACTTTTCTCATGCATTAGATATCAAGAAGTATCTTTATTCAGGGTTATAAATCTATGCTCCCCTTCAATTTCCTCTTCTCCCAAGTTCCAAGACCCTTACCTGTATTGTTTTAAACACTTTTTATAATACAATATTTTCCTCTTTAATGACAGCACAGTAAAAATAAGCAACTATTGTTTTGGAACTTGGATGCTCGTGAAGGGCTCTGAGATTTGACCTACACCTTCCTAGCAACTATTAACTAAAAAGGCCAGCTGATTGACTTGGTTATTCTTTCTGAGGTCTACTGTTCTGATTAGTTTGTCTTTATATAATAAACATATCTGTCTACCCTTTATTTAATCATGTTTCTCAACTTTACATCTACCCACATTTCTCTTATGGTAACATCCCAGAAAAGCTCAGATGATTTTCAGTTCACCTGCTAAGACGCAGAACTTTCATTTTAACACTGAAAAGTTACTTAGCTTTGTACTGAAAAAATGTGATCCAACAATAAACCTAAATAAAGCAAATTCTTTACACACTTAGAATTAAAAAGAAAACAAAAAACAAAAAAGAGGAAGGCATCTAAATTTGAAACAAATATAGAGGGATTCAGCATACTACAGAACATAAGGCATGGAGAGTAAAATACTTTAGATTACAATGCAGATGCACAGGTTCACACTACTTCTAAAAAGCAGACTTTTCACAATTTTTTTTTTTTTTTTGTTCAGAAAGAAAACGAAACCCCACCAGTGGAGGGATGTGGAACAACAATTCAGAACAGTCTAATTTTATGTAAGAGACCTCAATTCCTAGACGCATGAAAAATAGCCCTAAGATTATGCAATGTTTTATGAAAAGTAACTCTAAATGAACAAAATTAGAATTAGCCTAATACAGAAGGCTGTTTGTTTATAAAATTTGGGCAATTTCTAGTGTCTGTTTTTATGGGGTTTGATTTTTCATTCCAGCCCAAAGCTCAAACTACAAAACAGGTATATCACATTAAGTAGCTCTAGTAGAGTCTATAGGGAAGCAAGAAAAAAGTAAAAGACAAACAGCACATTTCCTTCAGCAGGGTCGCAAACAAATTTGAGGTTTGCTTTTCTTCTTCCACTGGTTGCAAAACCAAACAGAATTCAGAACAAATTTGGGGAGACATTTTTGTTTTGGCTAGGGTTTTATCTTTTCCCAATATAAACATTAACTTTCAGAAGATAAACATGCCACCTGAAGCTACATATTAAATGATAAAACTGTTAAGGGAACAAAATCTGTACGCAAAATTTAGTAAGGTTCTTCTAAATTTTTAGGCCAAAGGACTCTAAGGATTCAGACAGCACTACAGCTGAAGTTGCATTATACTTTAATGCTCATAGGAATATATCAATATATAAAAATAAAGTAGTTGCACATGTATAGTAAATTCATTCCCATTTACCTAGGTTAGAATAGTCTCTAACTTCTTCTTCAAATACAAAGATGTTTTTTGAATTTCCTTTTTTGGTGGATTTGTATTTATTTCTCTGTAGGTCAGAAATGAAAAGTATAAACCAAACTAAATATGCTTTTCTCCAGAAGATATGTAATAGTCACTGACTGCAATTACTGTGTGAAAATTATACTCATTTTAAACCACATGGTCACTTGAAATGGAAGACTCTGAGGTCAATTTATGTAACAGTAAAACCTGACACACTTCATGAAAGCTGAACTATTACACAATCAAGAAAAAGCTACCACAAATGTACAGAACAATCTCAGAAGACCAGTATTTTCTTAGGCATTGCAATAGTTCAAATATTACTGTTTCTGTTAATACTACACTATCTTTCAAATGCTTACAGACCTGCATAGATATTTAAATTATGCTTAGTCAATACTGAACCATGGCTACCACAGTGTTTTTAAAAAGCAAGTTTCATTTTCTTTTTACTCTAAGATATCAAGGGAAATAATAATGGACCTTTTACTCTCTAAAATATCTGACAATATACAGTCACACTTCCAGGTTTAACAAAAAAACACAACAGAAACTCATTACAAAAAGAAGCAACAAACAACACCATTGAAAATCTCTTTTAAAATACATTGAAAATTTAGTTTCTAGTTAGCAGCAAAAAGAACAATTTCTAATTGTTCATCTTATAAAAATCTGCTTTCAGTAAGATACACTGTACAGAATGTACACAGATACTTCTAAGTTTGAGTGGGAAAACAAATTCATAATTGAAATGCGACAATTATGCCTCCTAATATATTTTTTATTACTTTCACTGTATAAACACAGAAATCCATAAAAAAATGTACCACTAAGTATCTTTCATATACTAAAAAGGCTGCAGACATGAGGAAGTTAGCTTAAGTTCCAGTAAGTTCACTAAACAAAACACGGTATTTACAGACTTACGTCCTGAAACACCATGAAAAACCAACAAAGCTATTAAAAAAAAAAAAGTTTTGCAGGTGTGCACATATATAGAGATAAATATTTCACAAGTGAAATACTCTGTGGAACACCAAGTATAGCATAATATCATCACAACTGAAATGCTCATGGGTAATCACTTATAGTTTATTTATAGCTAGCTAGATCTTATATTCTGAAATACAGTAGAAATCTTTCTACACAAAAAAGTGTGTACTTGTAGTTTACACTTACACATCTCCACTCCTGTTTAAAAAAATGTGGTTACTTATGAAACTCAACAAAAATCAGAAAGCAAGCCTAACACATACCTTAATGAATACATTACCCCCCCAAAAAAATTAAACACTGCAGTTCTGAGCAAATCCCCAAAGTATTAATATTTTGTATGCAGTAATTCTTTAAAAAGATTCAAAAATGGCGATTACAGTAATTTATAATTTTCCTCAAAAATACTAAATACTAAAGCAAAATACTAATGTTTTTTCCTTAGTCAAAATGCAAAACCACTGAAAAATTCATCAGTGATACCCAGGGCTGGAAATAGAAAACCCAAGCCCTGCACACTGGACTTTTAGAGATTTTTTTTGAGGCTATAAAGTTCATGTCAGCATTACACAGCAAAGTACCTTTAATTGCCCCAAAGAAAAGGGAAATAAAACTCTTCCCTAACCACTTCAGCTTCCATCTTCACTCATTCACCGTACATCAAAGGGAATCAGCGCAACCTGACACACAAGGACTATTCCCCTTAGTGATCCGGCAGGTGCTGAGGCCAGACAGAAAGCCTGTTTTCCACAGCCCTTTACCTTGTTTGATCGCTGGTTACTTTTGATCTGACACTGCCCTCATGCTAGTAATGACTTCCCCCTCGCAGAACCACCTCGCATCTGTCACCCAGAATAAAGGGTATCACACTGCGCCCTGACAAGGCCTATGGCCATGAGATGTGCTGTTAGTGAAAGGCTCCCCAGCTCCCACCATTTCCAATTCAGCTCCCTTTGTTCTGCTGGGTACTGGGGCCAGGGCACCAGTGACAACAGAAAGGATTATACACCAGCTGTGAAGCTGAGCCTTCATGAATTTTTATCTTTTCATCTCAGCTTCATCGTGCCCTTAAACGCAGAGAACTTCATGGTGGTTACTATAAAATACATGTCCAACAAACATTATGGAAAATTCGTTTAAATCCTCTTTCCCTGGAAAAGAAAAGCCAGTGAATGTCCTCCAGTTATACTGAGAAGCACATTTTTCCCCAACTATTATTATTAGAGTTTTCCAACTGATCTTGTAAGGGGTCATTGATGCCAGCTGGCTGGTAGCACTGAAAGGGCAGAGAAAGTGAGAGGGGTAGGATATGATTTTCATTTAATCAACAAAGAATGTTCGAAACTTGTATCAGTGAGTTATTTATATCCATTTTTAATTTGGAACTACTGTGTGCTTAAAAGCCAGTAAGGAAAAATAGAGGATTTTAAATCAGATCACATGACTGGGGAATATATATATAAAAATAAAAAAAGAAAAAAGGTAAAAACTAGACTGTAGTCCTACACAAAATATAAATTCATTTTGATTTAGCTTTTAATTACAAGTACTTTTAATGGCATTGTTGTTTTAATTTCAGTGTAGTAACATACACTTGAAACATATACAGCCTTTTCTGGTCTGGAAGTCCAATTAAACAACTGAAACTCACTTCACAAAGGACACAATCTCACTTTTCCACATGGAAACATGGATTTGCATGGCATGAGCCAGAGACTGTTCTTAAAGATTATATATTTGATACCCTAAATAAAAAGATTCTGACTTCTACAGAATACTGCATATTCATATTTTAAAATTAATTGGACTGAACATACTTAGGAGTCTTTGGAAGTAACCTTTTGAGGACATAAGCATGAGATTAGGAGCACAATTATGTAAACTGCTCTATTTCCAAAACTGAAATCAGATACTCTAAATAGTATGTCTAATTAACACTTACATGATTAAGAATCAGTACCTCCAGTTACTATTTAAATTTTAACTAAGTTCTGTTGAAAATTCAACTAATTTTTCCAATTATTTCTTCTTAAAAATAGTAATCAAATTTCACAATGTCACTTGATGTTAAAATTGAAAAGCTGGAACAGTATCTGTTGAAGACTCCTGAACTTCATGTGACAAGATAACAGTGCATCACAACCTGCTGACATCCCCACATGCATCCTACAGTAATCCTGAACTGAAGTGAAAGAGGTCTCCTGCTCAGCCCTTTTCCATCAAGAAGCTCTAGACCACAATACTAACATAGCTGTGACTTACTGAATATGGTCCATCCTTGCAATTCCAGATAAAAAACATACAGGCAAAGGAAGACACTACAACAAGCTTTGTCAGACTTTGTGCAAGGCACTAACTGGGAATGCTAAAATACTGCAACCATATGACTGTATTGAAGTAAGCTGGTTACCTTAAAAGACAATGATTCTCGGAGGTTTTAACATAACCATGGTTTCCTAACAAAACACAGCATTTTCAAATAAAACAATCCCATTTTGACTGACAATTTATGCCACTGTCCATCCCTCCATCATCTTTGTTGCAAACTGAATTTTTTAAAGTGTCTTATTGGATAAATATTATGTAAATGAAAACAGAGTATCTGCAATACTTCTTGGCTTATCTGAACAGAATGGTATAACAAAATGCACATTAATCAAGTTGATGAGACATCTTTGCATACAGCAACCTATGTGAAACTTTAAATATCACCCAGAAGGCAAATATTTCATGTATTGTAGAATAATTTAAAAGAAAAAAAAAGAAAACAAAAAACAACAACCCAAAAAAACTCAGACAGTGGAAAAAAAAAAAGAACAAAAGTTTAGCAATCTTGAAAGGTAATCAAAACTATAATTATAAAGATAGCAGGCATTTATAGACTGCTAGTACTTTTCCACAAACAAAAGTTCATTGACATTATAACTTTAAAGGGAACAGATAACCAACTTCAAGAGGGAAAGACATATTTTTCCTGTCAAACAAGATAAAGAACAGCGTACAGATCCTGGACACTGAGGAACATTTACAATGACTGAGCATGAAGCTGTATCATTACAGGATTCGTTTCAGGCTTATCTTTACTTGAGACAAAATGGAAGCCATCTGAATGAGGTCAGCATAACACCAAGTCTAAGCTTGTCTTACATGTAAGCCTACACACTCAGCACTGTAACTAATGGCATGCACTCCCTAACAGTAGTGCATACAATGTGTTTGCACCTAGTTTTACTACCCGGGACAGGGGTTGAAACAAAAGAACAAAACACAAACACACACACGCACCTCACACACACTAGCTTCTCCCTACAGATCAAATCCTAGTGTGTAACTGGTTTGTGCAAAGCAGAACAGACCCCACTGTCAGCTGTGTGCCCTTAACTTGCTGATCATTTCTCCTCCCTTTTCATACAAGTCTTAACAATCTTGTTCTGATGAGGAATAGCAATTAAAAAAAAATTATTATTTTGTACTGGGTGGAAGAAGTATGCAATTCTTAATAGCATCAGAGAGACTTAAAGCTAAACAAGCTGACCTTGAACAAACTGTCACAAATACTGAAAATAAACAGTGGCAGTATACCAGGCAAACAGAAAAGTGCTCAACAGAATACTTGAGGGGAAAAAAAATAAAAATATCACTTTAATCAAATTAAAAGGATCTCAGTAACACTGAATAACAACAAGGTGAAAATTATGGGCTTGCATCATAATTGTAACTGCTCCTTGAATCTGACAAGAAATTAAGATCTGCAAAAAAAGCTACCCTCTGCCCCCTTTAAACAGTGAGCAAAAGATAACAATAATAATAATACAAAATCTTTACGAGAAAACTATTTCAATAAACTTTTTCAATACAGACCACTTGCATTATATAGAAAAAAGTGAGTTAGTTACAAAAAATAAATGCTATTTGTATGACATTAGATTCAGTAACAAAGACAAAACCTATGCAAGATCATTTAGCTTTAAGAGGAAATATGGTGAATATACAAAAACATACAAAGAACACACAAAAAAAAAACAAACTTTGTACTTCATAACATTTACTTTTTTTTTAATTAAGGTTCGCATTTAATGCTGATATTGTTAAATCGAAATTCTCAATCAGCAAAAGAATCCCATTTTTCCTTTTACCTGAAGCTTTGGAATTCTGTTTTTGTTAGCTTATTTGGGGAGCAGGGCACTTTGAAAAAGATGAGACACTAAAACCACTCCAAAGTCCAACATTCATTATAATAATAAATAAATATTTCCCCTGAAACATAATCAGGTTGAGGAAATTTTTCTTTCTGCACCCACCACCCATCCTGTGCAACTCACAGTGGTCAGAAAACAGACTTGTAGTTCCAGAAATAGAAAACTGAGGCAGAACTGTCAGCCTCAGTCCATCAGAAAATTCATCAAATCATGTTGTGTGTTGGACTCTTTAAAAAAAATAAATAAAATAAACAAAGCAAAACAAAACAAACCCACAATTTTGACAGCAGAGTTCTTCACCCTTACAGATGCATACAATTTAATTCAACTGAGTAAATTCTAAAATAGCAAATGTAAGCAATGCATAAATTGATACTGAAATTATTTACAATATCAAGTTTGTGTTTAGGAGGAGGAAAACAAGCAACAACATGAATGCTGCATGACAAAATGCCTTCAATTCTAACAGTAACTCAAGAACTGTACAAATAGCAGCTACTGGATAATGAGTAATTTAAAGCTTCACTATCTTTGTAATTCACATATAAAAAGTTTAAGAACTGATTTTGGCACTTGCTGTTCATAGATTCATACATAAATAGCTTAAAACCTGACCATGAATATTTTTTATTTAGTTAATAAAAAAAAAAAATCAGTGTTACTTTAAGAAATTGGATTTCACTGAGACATCAGAATACATGTAAATTAAGTTAGAAGTTCCCAAAGTTATAAATAAGGCACCATCACTGAATGGGTACCTTTGTAGTAGCCAGTTCTTTGCCTTGCCTTTACTTCACACAACTGTCTTTAAAAAGACAGTTCTGTGTAACCGAAATCCATTGCAAATGCTCATAAAATACACACAGCAGCACAGAATAAAACATGAAAATATCCATGTCAATTTATACCTGCAATCCATATGGTATAAGTCTACCTACTGCAAGAACACTCCAGTTCAGCAGTGATTTAATTTTTCCACATTGCTCTGTGTATCTATTTCACTTTCCAAAATGAATCCAAACGCATGTGTCATAATCCCTTATCAGCAGACTCAATGTTTTAAGATGTGATTCGCCCCACCTTTTCATTTTAAGGAAAATACCATGGCACATTTTCAAGAATGAACTTTACCAAGCTAGTCTGATGCTTCCCATCTACAGATTTTATTCCACACCCAAAAATTACTTGGGTTTTGGGGTTTTTTTTTTAAGACAAGATCACAAGGAGTAGCAATTAGTACCCCTCTGTGATAGAAAAGCAGCTTACATATACTCTCAGAAATAGTAACACTGATTACTTAAACATGTCCCTGAAGTTTTCTCCCTACTCCCCCCCCCAAAAAATAAGGAAGATATTTAGCCACCAATCCCCGTTCTTCTCCAGCAGCAGGCTGCAAGACTGGTTGTCTCTGAAGAACAGCACCACTCCATAAGATAACCTCTAATCCTCTGATTAGGTCTAGATTCAACTTTAAGGGGATCCATGGGGAAAAAGGTATGAATGAAGTTCAGTTGACCCCTTATGAAGTCTCTTTTCAATACCACAGAAGATGTAACTTCTGGGAAAGCAAGTGTAGTTTATTTGCCTTGTGGAACTGACCAACAAGGCTTTTTGAGAACTTTCTTCATTCTTTTTAATATCTAGGCTATATTCTCCAATTGATCATTAAAAAAAAAAAAAAAAAAAAGGCAATAACAAAAAAAACTCAAAAAAAGCCCACAAAAAAACTCTATCCCAGCCCAAACCAGTTCACTCACAAAATCATTCCTATGGTCATGTAGTCACACTCAGATGTTCCCAGACAGTCATAGCTCTATTATCCTGAACCCCTGAAAAACTTCAAAGGCTTAAAAATAATTCTGTATATTTATTAAAAAAAAAAAAAAAAAGAAAAAGATTTTTGCATAATGTCAGAGGAAAGTACAAACTCCATAAGGATGTAAAACAACCTTTGAATGCCATGGAGCAAGGAGACCAGAAGACAGACAGGAGTTGATGACTGAAGACCACACCAGCTGGACAGTCTTTAGAAAAGCCTCAGGCACAACAGAGCTTTCAAATGGTTAATATGAGAAAAATAATAAAAACAAAAAACAAGTTATGATACAAATCAGAACAAAGGAGGAACACTAAGATAAGCTCTGGGGAAAACACTGAAGCAAAGCTGCATATAGCTCTGAAAAGCAGAACTGTATGTTCAAGATTATCTAAATTACGTGCAATACTTATGTCTAAATTCCAGACAAACAGACTCTCATAAGCAACAGCATTCTGAATAAAACTAACAGTAGCAGTTCAAACACCATAGCAAATTCTACAATAAATAAGGCTGGAATTTCTAGGATGATGAAAAGTACATAAAATGTGGAACACCAAACCCAGGTTTAGGTCAGGATGACAAGTTTACAATTAAAAGACTTCAGCTAAGCAAGAAGATTTTTTCATCTGGGGCACTGATGCTCCAATTCACAAAATTACTACAATTTAACCCTGACTCACAGAAGACAGTATTTAGAATAATTTGAGCAGGTCATTCTCCATGCCCACTCAATTTGCCCTGTAACATATGTGCAACAATGTGGTATTTTGGTGACTCGGTACCTGAAGAGCACCCCGAGATATCAATGAGAGAACAGGAATATATTTTTTCCCAGATACTGGTCACCATAACAGCATGAGAGGAGGGAATGTAGATATTTGTAGAATTTACTTCCACTACACTTAACTGCATACAAGGTTTGATCTCTCATACTTAAAACTTTAAGCTATGTAAAGGTACAGTCAAGTCCTTCAGGAAACAAGGTGTTTTCATCCAGCTTCAGAAATTTCACAAGTTCATTCTTGTAGCTTCATAAAAAGTTTAACTGGAATTTGCTGGAACTGATGATATAAACAGTGACACCTGTTTCTCATTCGTTATTTTTACATAATCTTGCCCTACACAAATAAGAAAGTATTTGTACTGTCTTTGATGGATG